ACAATGGATGCCCAGTACAGGACCCACAGACGTCCCCGCAATGGCAAGAAGAGCGAGCGAGAGTGTGATGCATGGAGCATTATCAACGAAATGGGGTTGGGAAGCCCGGCTCATCCTGCTTGTCCACCACACGCACGCGGAACCCTCTAAAATTCATACTCGACGCCTTCACACGGGCATTCATGGCAAGAGACCTCTGCCACGGTGGCAGGGCCGTTTCTGGAACAAACATGAGCCCTTCCGCGTTCTTCCTTTCAAAATGCTCAAGTTTCTCACGATTTCCAATTTCTTGGCGATCCTTCATGGTCGGTTTGTACGGCTCCCGGCGGCGCATCAAGAGCATCTGGGCATTGGTGATCTTTGGACGCTTGAGCAGTCGACGCAACGTCATCCCCGCTATTGTCAACCCGTTCTGCCCTCCCTCTCTCCCAACGCGCCTCTCCTTGCCCTGTCGGAGAACCCCCGCGTTCTCTCTGTCTCTCTATCGCCCTCCGTCCCTTCTTCTTGGTAGGGGTGCCGACGCTGATGCTTCCTGGATTGGCCCCCCAAAGCACACGGACCTTCATTTGCACCGTAGTTATTAGAAACAGAGAAAAACAAAGACGAAAAAATAAAACAATGCACGCAAACACAATATAAACGAATATATATATCCACCTGTATATCATTTGCATGCATGAGTGATACGTACACGTACATGCCCATTCAAACTTAGGATCATGGAAGTATGTGATGTGTATTATATCTGTATGTAACACAAAGTGGGGGAAAATTACTGAACGCTACGCGAATTGCCTCCTTTACGTCCGAAATGCATGCGTGTGCATGTTTTTTTTTTATGTCCACGCATGCATACATGGCGGACAAATAAAGATGTATTACCCTAGAAGGAGTTCATGATCACCGTTATTCATGAACGAATGAAGAATTACTACACCCCCTTGGTTCAGTGAACATCGTGCAACAACATGCTTACATACACATGCAAACTGTGTTCAGATATACACCTCTAGATAACAGAAAAAAAAACAGGAGAGCGTCCACTACTTCCAACGCTACCAACACAGGAAGAAAAACACTCAAAGAACCGAAACACACGCGTGTGTCTTCAGCACCGCCACCACCACCGTCATCATCATGGGGCGATCCCTCCTCCTCACGCGCTCGTCAGCTTGGCGAGGTTTTGTTCTAGAGTCAGTTTCTTACTTCTTGCCCTGCGACGCATTCACCTCGGTCGTCGCTGGCGTCGTTGTTCCGGCAGGGTCCGCGGGTGGCTCCTCCAACGGCCGGAGTGAGAGGCGGGCGACGTTCCGAAAGAGCAAGAACACTAGCGCCAGGAGCGCAGTGTGTTTTAGCATGTCAGAGAGAGAAGGCAGACTACTAAAAGGGTGATGCCGCACGTACTGCAGCTCGTCTCGCAGCCGAACGATTCGATACTTCAGCAACTTGGACTGCAGAGAGGCAAAGTCGGACGTCAGGCTGCTCGCCATGTCCGTTCCATTTGCGCTGCATTGCGCTAAAGTTTCATCAAACGTCTTCCGCTGCGACGGCTCGTGCAGGAACGCACTGACAGGTGTGCGAGCAAAACGGGCCGTGCGACGCAACATGGCACCAACAGTATTCCCCTCCCAACCCGCTTCAAGATATGGGAATCGCTACTGTCCTGCAAACACGCACAGACACTCCTGCTGATCCTCTATATAAGCGTATAATGACGTGGGAAGCTTCGAAGGTTGCCAACTGCTACCTGCGGAGACGAAGGAGGAGACACAAGAACGAAGGAAGCGCTGGACAGGGAAAACAGTCACTCCACCCCCAGTTCCCTTCCCACCATCCCTGGCGGGGGGTGAGAATGAAGGCGCGCGCGTGCCGCGCACCCACATACACAGCGAATAACAGAAAAGGAAACAAACCTCAAGGCACTGTTCAAAAAAAAAAAAGGAAAAGAAAAGAAAAAAAAGGAAGCAGGGTCTCGCCTCTCTTCGTATACAGGGAAACAAGCGGAGTGGGTCACAAAAGGCGGGTGGGGAAGAGAAACTCCTCACCACGCACGACGCCACACGCACACATCACATTCCCCCCACCCCCACCTCCACCATTCTGCCCCGCTTGTGATTAGTTCAGCTTGGCCTGGTGGGCGGCAAGGCGCTCACGACGGGCCTTCAGAGCCGCCTTCTGGTTGAACTTGCGCACACGGCGGGCGTTCACGAGGGCCGGAAGCCAGCCGCCGCGCTTCGACTTGTTCAGGTGCATCGGCAGCGGGCGCTTAATGCCATTGCGGTGGTTCTTCCGCGACTGGTTGTGGTTCGTGTGGTTCTTCGACTTGGCCATCGGTCCTCACTTCCTTGAATAGATTAATTGCAAGGGAAGCATCAAGGCAAAAACGGCATAGTGAGGCCCGATTAGGTGGAAAAAGCATCAGCAAAAAGAAAATACGCACACAACCACAGCCCCTAAAGAAGCACGCCTACTCCAGTAGAAGAAGGCGGAGAAGGGCATTTTCTGTTTATTTTATTTTTTTGTTTTCCTTTTCTGTGCTTTAGGCAATGAAAGGAAGAAAAACAAAAAGTAAAAAAGTCAAAGCAAGGATCAGTTTACTTCAGCTTGGCCTGGTGGGCGGCAAGGCGCTCACGACGGGCCTTCAGAGCCGCCTTCTGGTTGAACTTGCGCACACGGCGGGCGTTCACGAGGGCCGGAAGCCAGCCGCCGCGCTTCGACTTGTTCAGGTGCATCGGCAGCGGGCGCTTAATGCCATTGCGGTGGTTCTTCCGCGACTGGTTGTGGTTCGTGTGGTTCTTCGACTTGGCCATTGTTGATCCTTCCCCCCAATGCAGAACCCAAAAACCCAAAAAGAAAAAGAAAAACACGATAAAAACAAGTGGAAGGTGCTTCGTTTTGCTGGTTGGACATTTGTGTGTGCATCCCTTGCGGCCAAGGCAGATCCCAGCAGGGGAGCGGTGGAGGATGGCGAGGAGGGGGAGAGAGTGGGGGCGAGCCGGCCGGCGCGCGCACCCACGGCGGGACATGCAAAACTTCGCTTCACAACAAACGGCGAGAACGCGCGAGAGCGTTAAAAAAAAAAAGACCCCCGTAACGACGGTAAATCGAGCGCAACTACTTCTGCAGTGAGTGGAGGCTGATCCGCTTTGCCTGGGCATCGATAAATTTCGTAAATATAGGCCGCAGGATGTAGCCAAGTTTACCAGAAAGTGTTGTTATCACCTCACTGTCGCCGCGAAGCGCACCCTCCAGACAAACACGTGCACACTCCTTCGCTGACACACCGCGGCGTGTGTTGCTGGAGGCAAAACTACCAGCGAGTTGGGCCCGTTGGTGGAAATCGGTGTCAACGTAGCCGGGGCAACACAACGTGATCGCCACCGCCGTCTCTCCGCGAAGCGCGTTCATGAATCCCTGAATAGCATGCTTGGATGCCGTATATGCGCTGCGATATATTGAAGGTAGCACACCCGCCAAAGACGACAAAACAACGATCCTCGACGGAGCTGTCGTGGAGTGTGCTTTCTCGAGCAGTGGCAACAACTGCTGCAGCAAACGAACATTTGAAAAGTAATTGATCTGCATCAATTCATTGCAGTTGTCTGTGAAACTTGGGTCACTTGAGAAGGCAGCAATGGCACCCGCCCCGGCGTTGAGAACCAAGTACTTGAGGGGCTCCTGCCGTGCCCGCAGGGCGTCCCCCACTTTACTGGTGCCCTCCACTGTGGTGAGGTCGGCGACGACGTACGCGGCGGTTGGGGCTCCCAGCGACAAACACGAGGCTTGCGCCGCACGCAGGTTTTCGGCGTTGCGGCCGACGAGCACAACATGGCAATTTGCCTTGGCGAAGAGGCGGGCAAACTCCAGGCCGATGCCGGAACCACCACCGGTGATAACCGCAGTGCTGCCGGGCACCAGCTTGCCAGTGCGGCGAAGATAAACGCGCCGCAGAAGCGATCGTAAGAGCAAAAGAGCCACGACAGACGCAACTACAGTCTTCATCCCCAGGAGGGCCATGGCGTGTGCAAGTCGATGTCCCTCCCTCCTTCTCTCCCCCTAGCGCTGCCTTGACTATTATTATCTTTTGTTGTTGTTGTTGTTTTTTCACAGGCGGTTGGTCGGCCACGTACTCGTTCTGTATGAGCTTGCGTGTGTGTGGTGCTTCTTGCTCTGGCGTGACGGCGATGAGAGCCGCAGGCAACGACGGGAGAAACGAGAGCGTTTTTTGGTTTGTTGATGACGCCTTAACGGTGATAGAAGGCGTCAATGCTTCATTGCACTCCGGAGAATTTCACGTCAACCCCAATTCGCCCACGCACACCCGTATTTTCCTTCGCTCCTCCCATGTGCATGCGCGCATATATATATATATTGTTCTTTCTCTTCCCGGGCCCCGCACAAACAGCCGCGAGGAGTTACAAACACAACGCGATGCAAACCCAGCAAGGTGCAGAAAACAATAGGTAGAGAAACGGTGATAGGGGAAGCGGGGAAAAAAGACAACTAAAAAAAACAACACACACACACACAAATCGCAGGCAATGATGAGTGGGTTCGATAAACGAAGAGCTTGAGTGTTATATCTCAGGTGTTCAAGGCGACTCCGTCATGGATCCGGTGGGCACCTCCTGTCCGTGTCTGCGGTACAACGTGATCTCCTGCTGCTTGAAGTACCGCCTGCCCTCACCCGTGATGAGCACCAAGTTCAGGAAGTACAGCACACGGAAGCAGTTGTGTACATTGGGGTACGTTGGGGTGAGGTGTGGGATGGAGCGGAGGTAAAGGCGGATAGGCACCACCTCCCCCACAACAGGGGTGCCGTCCATGATTTCAAACTTCTGCAGCGTCTCGGTTTGCATGGCCTCCGTAGGTTTGCCGGGGCCAACGTATTCCTTTCGCACCACGCCAACCTCGCCGTACCTAATATCCATGTCAGCTAGTTTAAACGTGACCTTCCCCAGTACACGCTCCTGGAGGTGAAAGATCTTCTTGTCGTACTTAAACTCAATGTGTAGCACGTTCTCAACGCCCACGTCCATGGAGACAGATTGCGGACCGAAAACCGTTTCACGGAAGTAGCTGGGATGCCGTGAGGCGTCCGGCTGGGTCGCGCTCAGGTGCGTATCCACCTTGCTCACCCACACCTCCTCCTCCTCCGTGATGTTCTTTACGGGGCGGCAGATAGTGACCCGCACGTAGTACGACACACGGGCGTTCATTCCACGGTATGACTCGTACTCCCTTGGCGCGGCAAAGCGAAACTCCAACGACGTCACGGAGTGAAACGTGTCGGGCTCAAACTTCTTTTCCTGCCGCATAAAGTCTGTTTTCTCTTCACCCTCCCCGAGGGTCGTGATGACCCCCACGAGCTCCAAGAGAATGCCGTTGTGGCGGTACGCACCCTTCGGTGTCAGCACCACGCGGCCACAGACAGGCTCTGGGTCGGAGAACAAATGCATCCGCTCGCTTGTGCGATCGTAGGGGTCGTCGACGGTCACCATACTTTCGTCCATCTTGCCGTCAAAGATGAAGCGCACCTCGCAGCCGTCTACCTTGCGGAGAAGCCGGCCAAAGAGGCCGGGGTTCCGCTCCTTCTCCTGCAGCCGCTCCCTCACCAGCATGCTGAGAGCCTCTAAGCGCCAGCCGCACTCACATATTTTAGGAAAAGATTCAAAAAAAAAAAACGAAAAAAAAAAACGGGACGTGACCCAACCAAGCGGAGAGCAAAAAAGCGAGCCGGAAAAGAAAGAAACAATGAGAACCGTGGCAAGGAGAGAAGAAGAAAGGAAGCATGAAAAAGATGCTGCGGGCTTCTACTCTCCTTGGGCCCGCGGCGCGCACCAACGCCTACAAATCACAATAAGTGGGCGGAACCGATCGCAATACTATTTTCTTTTTACAATGGATGGAAATTCCAAGAAGAAAAGAAAAAAAGTCTTCTCCCCTGTTCTGTAATGACAGCGAAGTATATAGATACAGTTATAGATAGAAATATATATATATATATATAAGTATGTGTGTGTGTTTACATATTAAAACAAAAACATATGCATAATGAATTCAAAAGAAGAAAAAGAAGCTGTGGCTGTGACTCAAGACGCATGTCGTCTATGTAGGGACGTTTACCTGGCTTCGCGCCCTCAAAAGTAGTTTTTTTTTATTGCCCCCCACCCCAATTTTTTTTGTTTCCTCACATCCCTGCAGGCATGTTTTTTTTTTTGCAAGAGTATTCCCGTTTTGTCCACCCCTTCCGCCTCTCCAAGAGCATCGAAGGAAACTTGAGAGAAGGTTTTGGGGAAAGCTGCACAGGAACGAGAAGGAGCACAAGGGGGACGGCCCAGCACCAGAGCAACCAACTAAGCAATGAAAGAGGGGCGAAGGGGAAACAAGTACAATCCATCAACAACAACATACGCAAGTCAACAAAAAAAAACAGCTATTATGAAAAAAAAAGGAAGGCGCACACAAACGAAAGAAAGCGAATCGCCTACATGCTTGCATGCATATATATTTGTAAATAGCATGCTGATGCTTGACAACTTCCACTGTATCCCCTTTTTACATCCGCTTCTAGGACGGGCGTGTTAGATTCGGAGCGCCAAATTTTCCCGCATTACTCGGCAATATAGCCAACAGCATCTGCACTCAGAAACACGTCTTCACTGCCATCCCGTCGACCACTTTTGTCAGGCGCAGGTCTGCCTCCCACATGCCGCAGACACCTACCAGCAAAGTGAAGAGGTCCACTGGCGCCAGTTCCGCAAGCTTGCCGTACGCCGTGAGTGTCTGTCCCTGCTTTTCTGCTAGACGCTTTGGACTCCGCTGCTGCCGCACGTCGCCCTTCGCACTCTTTGCAGCCGCGCCCACTGAGTTCATCACCCACGCCGTTGGGTCCTTCACGGCACTACGATACGGCACGCACACCGCCAGTTTTACTCTTTCACCCACTGCGGTGTGGCGCGTCAGGCTGTCGGTGACAACATTTGCACCACTCAAGAACTGAAACACTTGCACAGAACGACGCAGTCGGCCTTTCCGCAGGACAAAGCGGGCACGACGTCGGGCATCGCAGACAATCACGTGATGGTGGATGCGATGTCCACTCTCGCCAAGCAACTCACCCATCAGCACCCGTTGTTGCACCCCACCCGATGTTGATGGGAATGGAGAGGAAGCAGGGGAGGCTCGCGGAACGTGGGAATCTGTCACGACACCTTCTGGAAAGCCGTATACAAGGTTGTGCTCCAGCTCCCCAATTAGTTTTCTATCGCAAAAACCGGCGACTTTGCCATTGGCGTACCACACTAGATTGATTGACATCTGATTACTTTCAGGCGACACCACTTGCGCTCTCTGCTCGTTGGCTGAGCCGATCGCTGGCCCATCTCCGTTGTTGATGGAGAAGTTCATGACCTCTGGGGAGCCTATTTGCAACGACACTGGAGCGACCCCGTCTTCGGAGCTGGAACCAAGACAGCTGTAGAGACTAAAGACTTCCAATCCTTCACTGCTTGTTGACCCGGAGCTGCCTAGCCGCTCCAAAGTTCCCAATTCATGTCGCTCATATTCATGGGGAGACAAAGACTTTGCACTGGCTTTGTCGCCTACTTCCTCCCCCGCAATTCCTGTTGGATCCTGATGTATGCATGACGGCAACAAAACCGGTGTCATTGCCGCATTCGTGGCATCGGATGCCATTGAAGCGTTTTTCACTGACGGGGTTAATCCCTCCAAGTGTGTCTTTGCCCCTTTTCTTGAGCCGCATCTAACGCGTTCTACTTCGGCCGCAATCATTTCAGCCACCACGTCTCGTCTGCCCTTCCCTCCACGTGACGGCGGCACCTGGTCCTCGTCAATAAACGGAAGCAGGGCCTCCATCGAGGGGGGGCCAGAAAAGAAGTGCACCTTCTCTTGCACGCGTTGATCGAGTAACGGCTTCACCACCTTCCATGCCCCTGTCACGGCCCAACCGGCGTTGAACACAAGCATGCGGCGCATGATCTCTGGGTAGTACTCCTGCATGATCTTGGAAAACTCCCGCGCAAACGCCAAGGTGTGGGAGTTGACAGATGAGATGCTTGTGTGACGAAGATCCAAGACAAGCGTGCAGCGATCCACATGCCGCTCCTTTGCCAGAAATCGTGCCTTTTCCATCACCTGCATTTGCACCCGCAGTAGATCACTTTTAAGCCCGCTTTTTAAAAGTTTCACCAGAAGCCGAAAATCTGGCGTGTTCCACATGATTGGAAGACCATCCTTATCAAACCCGTACAAAAGAGAGGCGGTCGACTCAACACCTTTACTGAACTTCTCTGCAATAATGCCGTTGAGCTTCTTCTTTTTCCGCAGGGAGGCGTAGGTTCGCAAGGACGCCTCCGCCGCCTCCACCACCCAGTTCCTGCCAATAAGAAATCGGTAGAGAATATCACAATCCGAGACCTTCTGGCGATCGTCAAGAGGGAGAACATCGCCCAAACGGGAGTGAAGCTCTAAATTTTTACGCTTATGTTCCTCCGTAAGGACCGTCGGGCCGGAGCGCGTCTGCACAGCATGATCCGCTTCGTACGACGAATTCATCAACTCCGCCATTTCCCCACAACCGGAAAAAAAAAAAGGGGGAGGCAATAAGGACTAAAAAAAAAAGACTTCCGACCCCAACTCAACGGAACAAAAAAAACACTAAGTAAGGTTCACACCGTCCCACGTAAGCACTCCAACACTGCGGACAACGTGAAGGGCCACTGCAGAGCTTCCTGCTGGTAAATGTTACAAAACCGCTAGCTCCTCCTTCAGCTTAAGAGTCAAAAAAGAAATGCCGTAAACTTCGTTTCCTCTTTTTTGCTTCTTTTTTTTGGCTCGGGTTGTCGTTCCTTCGCTCACTTGTGCCTAATATTTTTTTTGTTTTTCCTTTGTTTTGCTCTTGTTTCGTGGTTGCCTTCCTTGCCGGGGATTAGCGCTCCCTTACGCGCCTGTGTTGTTTACTGCAAACTCCTATAAATAAAAAGCTTGGCGACACGCCTGTGCAAGGCGCGTGGTTGACACACTGCGTCTTTTATCGTCAGTTATGCTGCTTTTCGCTTTTTCCGTGCGTCTCACGCCCGGTTTACGCCGCTTGCCGCGCACTCCTTCCTTCCACTCGCACTCGGCCTCAAAGCTAGCCCCACCAGAGATAGAGATCGAAAAGAAAAAAAAAGGCGAGAGGTGCTAAGAAGCCCGCAGCTTCAGATGCATGCGTCACATTCGCAGAACGACTCACAACAGGAAGGGAGTTCAATCTGGTTCCTCGTTGTTTACCCGGAGGGAGAGTTGCTTTTCGCAGTCAGCCAGACTCCCCGCCGCTCCAGCGTCGGCAGACGCAACCACAACAACAAACTCAAAAGAGCAACAACACCAAACTTGCTTGTTTTTTTTATTTTTCACTTTTTTTTTTCGTTGCAGCATGGCCCCTGTGCCGGACCCGAGGCAAAATAAGCAGCGACATCGCGGAGAGGACGGGATCCAAAGCCTGGGCTTTTCCTCCTCTTCGCCTTCAGACTCTGTGGCCAGCATTACTTCGATATGAATGAATATGCTTGGCGTATCATATGCCTCCAGGCGTTCTCCTTGTCCTCCGCTTTCGTTCTCTTTTTTTTGTTCTTGCTCACGCGGAATTACCGCGAAGGGCGTTAAACTTCGCCAACAGCTCATCCTCGTTCTCATCAACCGCATCCTCTCCCACTGTCACCTGCTGCGTTTGCGGCAACCTGGCCTGGGCGACGGTTGTGCCCTGCATCTTGCCATGCGTGACCTCATCAACCACCTTGTTCACCTCTTCGTCCAGCTCCTCATCGGCGATGTCCTCATCTAAGGCGTTGTCAACGGTGTCATTTATCGCCTCCTCTATCAGGCCCGCCTTCATCATCTCCCTGCTCATCTCCCGCATTGTGGCCTGCACCTCCTGCACGTGCACCAGCCTGTTCATCTCTGTCATGATGGCTGCGCTCTTCTGGATGCTGCCCGCCAGCTTGATCTGCGACGCCTGTTGCTGCAGCTGCATTGACACGGAGTTCATTTGGGTGCGAGCGACGTACAAACGCCTCACTGCATGACGTGCCCGAAGAATCTCCTTTGAAAGCATACGCACCGCCACAGGATCACCTTTTCGCGCGGCCACCTTCGCCTCCTGTTTGACCTTCATCTCCTCCCGTTGAATCCTGCGAATTTGGGCATCAATCTTGCGCATCTCCGAGCTGAGTTTCCGCCGCCACAACTTCGCCTGCTCCTGGGGGTCCACAGTTTTGAAAAACCTGTCAAACATTGGAATAGCTATTACAGTAATGGTATGTTACTGTATCTAAATCTCGTAAGCACCGAGCTTGACTTCATTAGGGATACAGTTCAGTACATACACCACACGGTACGTGTGTGGGCGTGTGTATATATTTATAATATATTAAGTATCGTAATTATTAGAAGGGACAGGAGAGGAAACGTGCATGGAATGTTGCGTGCAACACGCACGAAAGAGGCAAGGCGAGGGGCAAGAGATTTCAGCACTACATCAGTCAAACTAAGAAAACACGCATGTAAAACTGCACAGGATACCAATGCCCCCGTGGACAGAATCGCCAGCATTCGAACAGGGCAGTGGATTTTTGTTGTTGTTGTCGTTGTTGCACGGACCTCAATCCGTGGCCCATCCTGCCGCCCTGCATCGTGCCCGTTCCTCCGCCTGCTCATCCCTGCCAGTGGAACTCTGAATATCCGACCCCATCCGTGTCGCCTGCACCACCAAAGGCGGCTGCAGCGTGTAGCAGACAGGGGATGTCACGTAGGGAACGCCACCCTCAACATCTGATGTCACATGCATCGTCATCATCGTATCCAGTTGGTACGTCATCGGAAGGCATAACTGCAGTAACTGCCGAGCACCTTGATGCGACACAACGTAGCAATTCGTCGTTCGGTGCAACGGCGGCACACGACTCACGCCCTCCGCAACACGCAGCTGAGAGGCCTGGTTCGCCGTGTCAAGCCCACTCACGTACAAAAGCTCCCAATCCCGCGGAACGCGCCGCATGCGTTCCTCGTACTCTTGCTGAAAACCGCGTGGAAACAAGGAGTCATCCTCCACCACGAGAGCACAGCCATAGCGCCGCGCCGCAATGGTGGCCCAAATTGACGCATGACTAAGTGCACATCCTACTGCCGCAGGATTTAAATCCATCCCCCAAATTCGGCGCCCATCGCGCTCGCGCAGACGAAGAAGCCCTAGCAATGACACCAATCCACATTCCCGTGCCTTTTGAACGTCAACGGCGTGACCATCAATCGCGACAAATCGCTCGTAGTCGCCCTCGCGGAATCCCGCACGCTGCAACTGCCGTGAGATGAATTCCCAGCGGTCAGGCCGCCGATCGAGGTTGATGACGTACACCGCGTCAAACGGGCGTGGTGAGACGGAAGTAGAAGATGATGCTGAAGCGCGAGCCAAAAAATGTAAAGGGCGGAAGGCGTCCCTGCTGCTCCCATCCCGAATGTCGTTGAGACGCCTGTGTAGCGCGGTGTAGCTCCATCGTCGTAGCCTCATACTTCTGCCGCGTCCAATGTATGTTTCCTCTTTTGCGAGGCGTGCACGCCTATCATGTAAGAATTACCTCCTCTAAAGGAAGAAGAAAAAGGTGGCTGCCTGTTCGTTTATTTGTTCGTCTTTTTTTTCTTCCGCCCCACCAGAAGCAAGCATGCGACAAGCAAAGAAGAGAAATCCTCACTACTAAAGAAGATCATAATAATCAAAGGGCTGTGGTGGCATGAGCCACCGCAGTCAAGAAACGGTGGTGCCCACAGGGGAAGCAAGACAGAGTGATTGTGGCAAGCAAAGACCTTGGCATTGAAGCTGACCACTCCTTTCCCTTGTTGACCATTTAGTCCCTCCCCACCCCTCTGTTGCAATAGTCAACATCCTCGCATTTCGTCGTTTTTTGTTTTTGTTATTGTTCCTTTTGACAGTTACTGATGGACGGCTCATGTCTTTTGTCATTCTTCTCGTTTTGATTTTGCGTTTGCGTTTCCCTCCCTCTTCAGCTGGCCGCATCACAAAGTCTCTGTGTTAGCGCCAGAGACACCCTATCGCTGACGACCAGCGTGCTGGGCCCATGATCTTGGATATGGTACCAGGTGTCGGCTCCACCTCCAGCAGGTCATCTAGCAGCTTTCCCTTCAGTATATGCACGTACTTGCCCTCGTGCTCTCCGGTTACCACGACGTAGGAGGCCGCCAGACTTGCCGCAGGCGTCGTCAAAACCAATTCCTTCTCCGGCGTAATCTTCATCAGGTATTTGAAGCTGAGGATGCTGGAGTTGCTCTCGAGGTAGGTCATGCGCAACAACATGTTACTCTGAGCAGACAGGCACAACTGACGCTCATCAATGTAGCGATGTTTCCAATCCACGTCCCTGAGCAGTGCGTTGCGTGTGTCGTACCGGTGCTTCAGGGAGTCGTACTCCCACATGTGCGCCACCTGGTTAATCGCACCAAGCTGGACTATCCAATAGCCCTGGCACCTACTCACAGATGCACGTAGAGGCAACAGCTCCGACGTCAGGCGATGGAACTTGTCGTATTTCCCCGGCAAAATGTCATAGATACGAAGTTCATAGATCTTTTCCTTTGTCGCCTTCAGAAGCGGCCAAGAGCGTTGCAGCATCGGTTTTTTTTTTCCCCACCCACCTGTGACCTCTTATGATAAATGTTTTTTTTTTAATGTTTGTTGTTGTTGCTGCTGTTGTCCTGCTTCTTCCGCCTCTCACGTGGCGTGGGCGTGCTCCCACCCCCC